CCAGGTAAACCTTAATACTACATAAAAAAAAGAGCGTATTTCACAACTATTGTTTTAAGCTCCTGAGAGAACCAAGTAGGCATGACCAGCAGAAGCTGGTTATCCTCCACTATTATTTCATGGTTTATTTTCTCTTTTTTGAAATTTGTGTGCAATATCTGATTCCAGAATCTCGAGCCTTTGGTATTACTCAGGGCTCTCTACAATTTAATCTGAATCTGTTGCAAATAGTACTACACACTACAGACTACATGAAAATGTCAGGTTATACACAAATATAAATAGCAACCACTGGTGTTAAAATCTGTCATCCTACTGCTGAGATTATTCAGAATGTAAGTGACCATACCGCTGGTCCTCAAATAGAATATGCCTTGAAACATGAGACAAAATCACCTCTACTCTAGTGATAGAGTGGGTGAGTCTTTCTCCAGGGACCGGTATCTACATTGCAACATCCTTCTCCTCTCCATTGGCAGGGTGATCATGAGCGGTCAGGGTAAGCATGTGTGGCCAGGAGGAAGGACTGGCTCTGCCTTCATCCATAATGCATCTCTTTGCATCTCAGTGCACTCTCATGTGTGCTACATTTTAGACCATGCTCATTAACAGAAAATGTGTCTTAAGGAAATAAGATGAAAGGTGTAGGCCCACATTCATTTCCCACACAGTTCTTCCCACAGTCTATTCTTCTGCACCTTTGTGTTGACAAAGATTTTGGCAAGACGTTTGCCTCCTCCAGTACCAGAAATATACCCAAGAATTGAGTTACATCACTCCAGCAAAGGTGAAATCTGCATTATACATAGACTTATAATTGATCAGTTGAGTCACTCACTTGGTTGGTCTAGAAGTACCGACTAATTCTGTTTTGGCTGTGTTGTACTTGGGGACAATCTGAACCTCTCTGTTATGTATTACTGGAGCTAGCGATGAAGCCTGTCACTTTTTCTCCATTCAAAGATTAGCTTTATACGATGATGCCCCTGAGCAACTTAGTCTGAGTTCAATATTGACCCAATTTTGAGCAGGTTTGATTAGAGACTTCCTATGTTCTTTACAACTTGAATGATTGTATGAGACGTTTTGATTCTTTTCTCCATGTATGCTGGATTGGTATGGAATTGCCTAACACCTACAGCTAAATTAGCTGAGTTAATGTCCAACAACGACTTTCTCAGATAGCAGATCCACAATTGGTGGATCACTGACTGAGGGCTCTGCATAGATGGGTGACACATGTGTCACACCATTAAGTAGAGACCATTAACCCTGAGTGCAAAATTTAATGTAAGTTCATTACCAAGTCATGACTATGAGGGTAACTACGTGAGATTTATTTTTTTCTTTTGGTGTTAAGCAGTGAATACTATCATACTGCTTCCATTGCTCTAGAATCACATAATCCCAGAACGGTCGAGGTTGGAAGGGACCTCTAGAGATCATCTAGCCCAACTCCCCCTGCTCAAGCACGAGCCCTCCCTTCCCCCTCGCTCCCACCCTGTGCATCCCTCCCTTCCCAGAGAGGTGGTCTGACCCCCATAGCCCTGGAAATCCCAAGGAGCCTCTTCCTGGGGACAACTGGTTCTGCTTCAGTGAGGTCAACTGAGCACGGGCCTTCACTGCTGCACCCCTTCACCCAGGGCCCATGCATGAGGGCACCCAGGAAATCCTCCTGGGAAGATATGAACAGGGGGTGTAAGATCAGACAGATTTGATTTAGCTGAGACTAAAAATGCAAAGGCTTCTTTCCCATAACTGCCCCCAACTGCTGTACTTGGCTGACTAACTTCCACAGTCTAAAGTAATAATGTGAGCAAAATAATGGTATGTTTTCTTTGCTTTTTTATTTTATTTTATTTCAGAGCAAGATATTTATTAGGTGTATGCCCTCAACAGAGAAAAAGGGGGACAGGAAATTAAACTGGACCAAGGTAAAGCCAACTGTGTAATTCTCCAGTGACTTCATTTTGTTTTCCCATTACGAATAAAAGCATGTAAAGTTCCAACCTGTTTCCCGTTATATGGATAAGGCAGTTTTTGTTATGCAAGGTGGTTTAATCGCATGGTATTATTCCCCACATCATCCAGCAAACTCTTAACCATGGATTGTCTCTTGTAGGGTTCAGCTCACTTTCATATAACAAGGATTAGTTTCTCGTTCCTGAGAAATTCAGAAGTCTATTTTGCAGTAGGGGAATGTCAATTTTCTCCATTCTTATGAAACACTTTTTCTTTTTCTTTCTTTAGAAGAAATTTAAGCCGTAGCATCTTATTGAAACATGTGGAAGTGCTGATGGCTGTCTTTTCCCTCCTTCATATATCCCAGCCCTTGGGTAAGTCTTCCTATGCATAATCCCGGAAATAATTTGTCTGGCACATAAAAAAAAAAGCATGACATGGACCATCTATGAATGTATTCTTCTTTTTTTTTTTTTCTTTTTTTTGCTTTCTATCTTTCTGTTTTGAAGTTCATGTTGGGAAAAGAGCTATGATCTTCTGTCCACTACAAAACTAGCATTTTAAGGAACAGTGCTGCAGTAAATAATATCTTCTGTGTACCATAAACCTATTTCCTTATGTGCTAAGTGAAAACAAGCAGCTGATAATTTGCACCAGGCCTGATGGTTTTAGCACTTAGCTTAACACTACCATGGAAGATCTTTCCTTGACAGAGCAATGAAAGCATTTCCTTCAACTGAGTTTGAGTCTACTTAAATATATCTGTTGTCTGGCTGACTTTTAAAAAGGATATCTAGGTATCTTAATGTGTTTTCTTTTTGGAGCTTCTTCTTCCCTACATCAAAAATATCAGTTATTCTGCTTTATACCAACTAATTAACATTTAAGTGTTAAACAAGTCAGAGTTCTTAAATTTGAAGTTATTTAAAAGTAAGCTCAGAAATCAATCTCCCCATTGCTCTCAGAACCATCTTTAACTGATCTGGTCTCTCTGTATCTATGTCTGAATCTTTCACATTTTTCAGCTCCAAACCTGGTTGTGGTATTGTCCAGTTAATCTCCTTTCTCCTGCTGGAAGGCAGTTTCAAAATTCAGTAATTATAAGCCTTCTCTAACTCTCAATCAAAACTTATTCTTTACTTACCAAATTTCTTATTTTATTTCTGGCTATTTATCTACAGTGATTCTCATCTCTCACAAGCACTCAACAGTGTCATTCTGAAATGGCTATTTTTATATCAATTATTTGAGTGTTAGGGATTCAGAGAGTACAAAATTATCATTTCTTAAGTAATCAAAGTCAGGCAAAGGTATAAAGAGTTTTGCTTCAAATTATATGAGAGGAGCACTCAAAAGAATTTGCAAATAAGGCAAAGAATTAGCTCTGGATTGCATCCTAGATCAACAATAGAAACTTTCAGCAGAATCTAGGGACAAAACATATTGTCCTCTGCTAGATTATCTTTCCTATAAATACAGCCTTAAAAGCTCCAAAGGGGGCACATGCAATTCCTAAACAAATCATATTTTCCTTTCTTTGAACAGCAGAAACCCTCAGAGCAGGCCTAACCTCCTTCCTCCCACCATTTGATCAATCTGATGAGAAACGAGCCATGGTTTTGTTTTGCAAGGCCCTGGTATGCCATGGAGAGAAGCGTGATGGTTTCATTAGCAGGAAACCAGAGTGTATTAAACTAAAGTATGAGGCCAGTGACAGACAGCAAAAGTCAATACTTCTATAAACCTTTCATTAAACACGGATAGCTGGAGACAAACCATTTGTTGAACAGCCTGATTTACACTTTTTTTTTTTTTTATGTGCATATGAGACCATTTCTTTGGGAAAAAAAAGTTTGCTTTGCTGGTGAGAAATAAAATCTATTCAGACAAAACACAAGTAAATGATATATATTCAGGAACACATTTGAAGCACTCATTTAACCAGTGAGGTACTTATGGCCTCCTTTATTTTTAGACCAGAAGATGGTCTTTCAATGGAGAATTGAGGGCCTGTCTGAATTTTGAGTCTAGCATCACATTCCTTTCAATGTTGTTACTGGATTAACTAGCAGGATTTGTACAAATCTCATGGTATGGTTGTTGGCAACCACATGAAAGTGATATTCATTTTATACTTCTAGACAAACACTCCAGGAAACTTGTGAAATTTTCAAGTTTTCCGAGTCTGAGGTAGTCTATGTAGTCAGACGATCTTGTGCAGAGCATTCAAGAGATGGTAATTCCATGGAGTTAAAATACAGCTCTGAATGGATGTCAGGAATTAGGGGAACAATTCCAGCTCCTTCCTTTCTCCACCTTGTTCATCAAATAAGAAATCATATCAAAGGAAGGAATAGGGACCAACCCTGACTTTATTCATTCCTCACTCCAAATACAGTCATCACTAACTTCAGTTCTATGAGTGTATGTGAGGAAATGGTTGCTGCAGTTCTCCCTTGAAAGCTTTCACTGACTTCACTTGGCACAGGATGGGTGTCAAGTTCCTGGAAAAGTTTGGTTTTCTTTAGTACCTCTCCGTGATTCCTGGAGAGGGGCATGCACAGAACTCTATCAGGACAGCACACATGGGATTTCTTAGTTCCTTCCCCATCCTGATATGCCAAAAGAGAAATTCTTGCTTCTTTAATAAGGGATATCCCTTGCAGAGTTTTCAGCTCACATTTTTGCGCTCCTGCTGTTTATAGAGTTCCCTTTACGATGCCTGATAGGTCCTGTGTATTTGATTTAGGAGGTTGATGCTGTGCCCTACCCTCAGATCTCACTGGCTTCAATGAGTTGCAGCAGTTTAATAGCAATAACTTTGGCTCTGGATGCCAGAAAGAGCAGTTCTTTCCCATCGGGTTGTACATTAACAAATATACAGGACCACATAGTGCTCCCTGCCAGTCTAGCAAAGCCCCAGGACACATCCACTTGCTCCGTCACATCGGTATTAATATTGTTCTGAAAGTTTTGAGAAACACAGACACAGACCATGATCTCTGTGTGCCAGGTACAAACTGAACCAGAATATAAAGACTGGTCAGTCTCTGAGTGTTTGTAGTCAAGAAACAACAGTTTAATAACAGGGAAAATAGAGAAACTGAGAGATGTAGACACACATCATTTTCTTTCCCTCTGGAATCAAGATTGTCTAGCAGAGACTGTTTCTTTAACATTTTCAACTAAGGTTGTTATTGAATTCTGTTGGTTAAACTAGGAAGTAGACAAGTAAGCAAAAATTTACTACTCCTCTAAAGAAAATAGTCAATTTCCTCTTGAGATGAACAGAGTTCTTAGGATTCTCTGATTATTCCAAATATCCAGGTTATCTGCTGAAGTACATGAGCCCTGACCCAAAGCCCTGACTTATTGCATCAGTTTATCCAGAAGAGATCTATAATCTTCTGCAAAGATTGTAGCTCAAAATGGTCAATTTTGCCATGGAAATTTCCACTAATCCTTAGACTGTGGTTCCTGCCATGATACACCTTGATTTAGAAGCCAGACATATATATATATTTATAATTGGGAAATGAAATTTGAGTTTTCCTCATCTGTAAAAGAAAATCATCTATCTATTTATCTATCTATCTATCTATCTATCTATCATCTCGTGTGTGAGTATAAGCATAAGTGCATGTGGGGCAGTGTATGCATATACACACAAAACAGCCAAATATATATACGGCATAATACATACAGTGTCATAGAAACGAAAACAAATTTAACTAACTGTTCAGTCACTAGTCAGGAAGGGTGGTGGCAGAATGAATTTTCTTACTTTTCATAGTTAATACTATTCAGTCTAACAGCTGATCAAACACAGAAAAAAAAAACTCTCCAAAATTTTAACTTAAAAGAGAGATTTTTTCTTTTTTTTAACACAAAAAGAATAAAATCATTCATCTGAATTACAGCATTAAAAAGTCCCCATATTAACAGTACTTTTAGGTGTTTTAAAATTCATTTTCATATCCTTCTGTGGCAGTCCCTCCATCAATGAGACCATTTCTGTGGGTTCTGTGATTCTGTGGCTAGCAGATCATTTTTCAAACAACGCTCCTGTCCTCCCTGTGTTCTCTCAACAATGACTAAATTGATGGCATAAATCCCACCTGGGCTGCTTGAGCACTTGAGCACCAAAGGGCTCGATCACTCCAAGAGCTTCACCGTGGGCAAGAAATATCCACAATGTTTCTGTCGTGTCCACAATTGCTACACCATCACCACCATCATGTAAACACCAATTGCTTGCAGTGAATAGAGGAGCAGGGGTATTTTTTAAACATATACATTGCTTTGAGCAATCAGTTTAAAATCTCTTTTCCTAGCTGACACTTACAGATAACCTCTATCTGGTGATGCTGAAACTGATGGACATGTTTTGTGCTTGATGTGTTAAAGTGAGATTTTTTTTGAGCAAGAGCCTTTAACTATCATTTTTTATCCTATTTTCCTGAAGGTATGTACAGGTATGTATATAGATATCTATATGTATGTTACAGGCTTGTACTCTCCACCAAAAACTCAGGGCGCAGCTGTATTAGAACAGAGCAGAAGTACTACATAAATCTTCGTAGAAATGAAATAAGTAATAACTTCTGAGACCTGAGATAAAGATTAGCTATAAAAACCTTGCTATCCCCAAATGGTCTGGAGGATGGGTGATAACCATCAGATTTATATCCCAGCCCAGATGTTTCTACTGCCACTACGTGACTAAATTATATAGCAGCCACATCTACTGCCAGTTTTTAGCAGGTGCCTTTCCTGTGTTCCACATCCCTGATCTAGTGCTATTCCTTACAATGCTGGCATGCCATTAAAGACGGCTGCTGCAAGATTGAAATTGAGTAATGAGCTATTGTTGTGGTGCTCTTTGTTAAGAAATAAAAATCTTGGACTGCATCTCAGGTGCAGGAACCATTTTACTCATGCTGAAATTGCAGCCATTTCTGGTCCTATCTAGGAGCTCCAGAGAGTTTAACCATGAAGATGTCACAGCACCGGAGAGGCTGGTAGGAGAACCCTACATCTAATTGAAAACAGGGAGAGCAGAAGGTGGTGAAATATAGCATGAACTTGACTATTTTGAAACTCAAGAAAGGCACAGGGTATAATCTGCTTTGGGAAAAAAAAAAAAAAAAAGATTTTTAATGAGCATGTGAGGTGAAGAACTCAGCTTTATGTCTCATCCATTCAGTGACACCTCTGGAACTGCAGTTCTCCACAGAAGCAGACTGACTCACAGGAAAAGCAGCATCACTTAATCACCGCCTCCCTTCATCAAGTTTTCGGTTTATTTTGGAAGTTCTACCTACTCAACCTGACTTTGTTTAGTTTGAGACTGAAGGAGATCAGACTCAGAGGGTGTGGGCACAGGGAGAAGGGAAATCACAAAGGGAAACACTGAGTCAACAAGGCCAAGCATGAAGTCTTGCTCCCTATAGTCAGAGGGCTATCCGTGAACTTTGCTTACGGGCAGATGTGGGGATCCCCTTGGTTAAAGGACCAGAAAGAGTTAGTGAGGAACAACAGTATTAAAGAAAAAAAAAATCAGTGCTGGACCCTTGCACACTGGGAAAAGCTAAATGGTAATAGGGGTTCAGAGCTGCTCTGCTACCACTTAGACCACAATCCAACAAATGGGGTTGACTCATGCAAAGGGTACTCCTTCTGTAGGATGGCTTTGGTGAGTGTGGAAGGTGCCTTGCAGGAGCAGCTACCGCCCAGCACCAATCCTGGGATGAAGAATCAAGAACAACAAAGGGCTTCCTTCAGCCTGTCTTTGAAAATGAGTTTGGAATTGGCCGTCTTGCTTTTGCCAGAATAGGGCATTGCACCCTGGTGTGTCCTTTTCCTTCTGCTGCAGCTCATCCGGCTGTGGAACAGACTGCACTTTGAGTGCAGGTGACAGAGAGACAATCAACCACCCTCAAAATACACAGTGTATTCCAGGAGCAGGTGACTTTCCGCACTCCAGAAGTAATATCTTTATTACTATTTACCTATCTTAAGCAACTACTCTCCTCCAGAGCCACTGACCACAGACCCCTTCTGGCTTTGCTAGAAAGTTCTTTAGCTGTACCGTCAACATTTATCATTTTCCTGAGTCATGTTTTAAAACATGATTCTTATATTTATTATTCTTGATCGTTTTTCTTTCCTCTTTATCTACCCTGAGCAACATCAATTCCAGTTTTGTTTTCCTTGTCTATGATCTTGACCCATCTGTAATTTAAAAAAAAAAAAATATATCAACTTGAAGACAGACTTTTCAAAGAATTTTCCAATTACAAGAAGGTGTCAGGTTTTTACTTTTTCTCTTTATTTCTTTGTTTCTTTCCAGAACCAGAAAGGTTTGCCAGACTCAGGAGGCACATTTCCTGTCATTCTGATCAATATGCGGAGATATAAAAAATAATACTTAAAATTATTAAACATAGAGCAATGTCTACATTTTTGAAAAACTCCAGCTATCACAAAATTGACTAAAAATGAGCTATAATAATTGTTTTTTTTAATAGCTTGATAAATGTTTACAAGATAACTGTCTATGAACTGCAAATACTACGTTACCTCCCTGTATTCCTCCCACCCGCTTTTCCTGCTGGAGGACTTTGCTGATCATTAATTGTCTGTGATGAACACATTCTTCCATTATCCAAATTACAGAGCTACCCGGCAACAGCCAGCTTTGCTGGCACATGAGTACATTTTGGATTAGGTTTTCTCTATTCTTACAGTTTTACCCAATGGAAAATTGTAAGATGAATGCTAAAAAAAGATACAAGATGATGTAAGGAAAAAAAAAAAAAAAGGCCACATTTTTAGAACAACAAAAATAGTGCATATTTTTCTTTCAGTTTTTCCAATTGCAAAATATTTTACTTCTGTACCCACATCACTACTATAATTTGTGGGAAGTTAAGTGTCTTAATAGGATTCAGGAGCCCAAACACTTCTGTGACTACTGTCCAGAATATAATTCAAAGTAGCCAAAGTAAAAATATTAGTGTTGAGTTCAGTGAAATCTGGACTAAGCCCTTGATATGTCATCATTTTGCTTTTCTCTTATGACAAAATAGAGTCTAATACTGAGCGTGCTAACGGAGCACTCTTCTTTCACCTTCTCCCTTTCTTCCCTTCAGCCTTGCAACTTCCATGGCTGTTTTGGTGGATTTTGTTCTTGTTGTTGCTGTTGGACAGTGAGTTTGGTTAGCTTTGTTTCATTTTCTTGAGTTTCCTTTTTCCCTTTGGACCCTAAGAAAGGCACAGATTCACCCCACTTTGGGTAAATAACAGATGCTCCCATGCCTGGAGCTTCATCATCCCGTGTTCTCTTTCTATTCCTAGTTGTTCTAGGAAGAGAGCAACTCAAAGGATCTAAGAGCTGAATTGCTTCTCTTTTTCTCTCCTCTGATAGCTAAACAGGAACCTGTGGAACTGGGGTTCCTCACTTTGGACCCTCAGTGCTGGGCCTACAGCTGGACAGGATGAATTAAGCATAGATGTACAACTTGCCATGGTATCCCACAGTGATACTGGATAACCTCTGAATCCAAGAAATTGCTCCCACCATGTTTTTCCTGTAAGAAACCCCAAGTTCAAGCCTGTGGTGGGATCAGAACAGAGAACAAGATCTGAAATATCCACATCTTCTTCCCAGCTTTGTCAAAAGCCAGCTCTCCCTTTCTTCTGCTCTTTCTAATCTCTTTCTCAATGTACCCATCGCTTTCACCAGCAGGGACAATTAGCCAAAGCAGCAGTCAGGAGTGTCAGCTCCATCCCTCCTCTCCTTGTTCCCAGGTAAAGAGTGTGACATTAAAGCAAATCTATGTGGTTTCTCCTTATCTTTTGTTTGCTGAAGGAGGCAGTACGCTGGTGGTGCCAGACTGAGATTTCAGGATATCCTGGTTATGATGGGTTCTGCATGAGGACAGCTCTTCTGCTGATTTCCCCCACACTGGGCAAAATCCTTCATCTCTCCCCAGCCCAGTCAGTGGGAAATGAATAAATTTGTTTTTCCCCTCTAGCTCCTTCTTGCAAGGGAAAACAACAGCTGTTGCCCTCCCCATCTCCTGGGAGATCCCCCCACTGCTATTCTTGCCATAACACTTAGAACTGGATGGGAAAGTGAAAAAGAAAAATATATATATACATATATTTCTTCTGAACATTTGACAAAAGACAAGCACAGAAATCTGGGCTTGTCATAATGTTTGGGAACCACTTCATAGAGTCCTATCAATTCACCAAGAAAAAGAGAGTTGCAAGACATTCACGGTGTAGACTTAAAATACTGTTTTTCTCCAAACATGGATTTTCTGGCTTTGAAATGGACAGATTCCATTGTATTCCACAGAGTTTTTGTGGGAGAGAACAGAGCTTTCACCCTAGGGTGACATTTTTGAGGTTCATTTGTGAAGCCTGTAAGCTTGCCAAAATCAGTGACAAAACACTTACTGAATTTGAGAAGCAGAGCATCCCCTCCACCCAGGTTTTCTCCACTGAACCAGGTAGCATTGTGGAGTTTCTTGGTGAAAGCACAAGTCTGGTTTCCCCAGAGGCAACAAATAAATAAATAAATGCCTGAGCTTCGTGGTGTGTTTTGTATTCTCCAAAGGCTGAGGCCCACGTGCCTCAGTTTCCCTTGAAGGTAGACCCTTTGCATCTGCCCTTTCTGTAATCAGTCTGGATTTGCTCCTCTATCCACCACAGCTTTTCTCCCTGCTCTTTTCATCTGCCTTCATAGGCTCTTCTGAGACATCCTTGTGCAGGGCTCTAAATAACATAATTGTAGCTTGGATTGCTACCAACTCAGAGACAAGAAAATTTTGGGGTGATCACGCTGAAACCCACTCTCCATGCAGCCAGTTTTGGGGCCATTAGAGGACAGAGGAAGAAGCCAGTCATCCAAATTTTGTGGCTGGGGAAAGGGAAAGCCCAAATAACAGCGCTACCAAAACCAGACCTCCCGTGCTTGGTGGCAGCTGGCAGTGTGACCTCTCTAGGAAACCACTTTGGGTGGATGCCCCATCCCATGCGGTGCAGCAGTTCCCTCCGCCAGTGGTTTCCGAAGGAGAGATCACATATCACACGCACAGACAGAGCCTTCTGGAGTTAATAATAATAAAAAAGAGCTTCTGTCTTCTTCCCCAGGATGTTTTGGATTAACCCCATCAGAATTTCAAAAAGGGTGGCCCAAGGGGATAGTTGCAGGCACCGGACCCCTGGGAGGGAGGTAACACAGAGATAGGGATGCACTTGGGCTGCTCAGGAATGACCTTTTTAATAGCACTTTTATGATATTCTAAAAAATCTCCACTAGCTCGCTTTCGGAGTTGACTACAATGCCGCAGCCATGCAAAAACTTACACTATTTGTTCATTTAGTTTTCTTCCCTCTTTTCTTCCTCTGTTACTTGTATGATTTATGAAGAAACCTTTGACTGGGGACATAAGGTCCCAAGTATTAGTGTGATTTCAACTAGACATCATATTGCAAACATGTTCAAGTCTCAAACTACAGCCAGGAATAAGCTGCAGGAGAGGGACCATGGAAAAGATGCAAAATACTTAACAGCATTGGGTGAGAAGCAAGTGGCCAGAGTGGAATTTCCACTTATAATACTCCTCTATGCATCGCTACCCGAATATTTGTGTGTGCAGGACTGTCTCTCACAATAGGATAATTTAATGCTTAGAAGTTTATTTTTATTTTTTTCAACTGCCAAGGCAAAATGGGGATGATAAAATGAGAGCATTTTGAGGCAGAACAGTTGCAGCCAAGCAGTGAAATAGTCCAGGAACTTTTTACACAATGTGACTGTGAGTAGCTGTGAGAAGCAGGATGGGAAAGGACTGAAACATCCCCCCCCCGTCTTCTTCCTCCTCCTCTGCATGTAAGTGTAGTTGCCACCTCTTCCTCCAGCTTACATCTCCGGATTCAGTGTTTTCCCTATATTTTGAATAGCCGAAGTGGGAAGACAAGGAAAGTGCAGCTCTGTCAAGCAGGAGCTGAGCCTAATGCAACAGGTAATGCTCACAACTTTGGTGACAAAGTTTCTCTTGTTGTACATCTCTCCTGTATTTTTTTTTTCTTTTTTTTTTTCCATAGGGTCTTACATTGCAAATCCTCAGCAGGTAATAATTCATTATTAAAAAAAAAATCACATTCACACATGGAAAAGCAACATCTGGGTCTGCACATGAATCAGCATCCCAAGGCACAGGCTTGTTATCTGAGACCTTTAGCAGCATGAAAAGCCCCTTGATCCTGCAACTGGCAGTTATTTCAATGATAAAATTTGTCAAATGGCATCTTTTATTAACTGAGAGGCAAAAAATTAAACAAGAACAAAACTGATCACAACCACAGTGACCTCCAGCCGTGGAAAGGGGCTGGAAGGAAAGGACCTTCTCTACAAAAAGGGTTAATATGGTATTTAAGCTGACAACAGGGATTGCATTTACCCTCGATTTACCTAGATTCACCCTAGATAGGCCTAGAATCAGTCAAGACAGGACTCCCCGCTAAATTAAACAATTGACTGCATGAAGCCACCACCACACAAGCATACACATCTACATACACATCCTTAGGACCTTGAAAGCTTTACCCTCATATTTCTACAGTAAGTATGAAGGAGGAATCAAAAGTGTCTCCACTTACCGTGTTGAGCCCCAGGAGGTTGTGGGGGTGCGACGAGGTGACTCCCGAGAGGATGGCAGTGGCCACCACTGCCCCCAGGCACTGCGCGATGATGTACATGAGCGCCTTGAAGATGCTGATCTGGCAGCTCAGCAGCAGGCCCAGGGTCACAGCGGGGTTCAGGTGGGCACCGCTGATGTGGCCCACGCTCTGTGCCATGGTCGCGATGGAGAGCCCAAAAGCCAGAGAGACCTTCACGTTGTCTTGAGACTTGGTGGATGTCTTGTTGCCCACGATTGGGAAGCTAAAACCCAGCGCCGAGCCAATACTGATAAAAATAAAGAGGCTCATGGCAAGGAACTCAGCCACCACTGCCCTCCAGAATATTTTCTTTTTAAATTCACTAGCCATCTTTCCCCTTTTTCTCTCTCTCACACTTTCCCTTCTTCTCTCTCTCTCTTTCTCTCTCCCTTTCCCTGCTTGATATTTTCCCTTTGAGGTCTGAAGACAAATCTGGAGGAAAAATACAGTTCTTGGATTATTTATAGGGAGGGATTTGGGTGGTCTGTAGGAGGGAAGGGGTGTTGCACAAAAGGAGGAAAGAACATCTACATAGATGCTGACTGCTAGATTGATGTAAGACATTGCATGCCTGCCAAAGTTTTTTCTTCCTTTTTTTTTTTCCCTTCCCTTAATAGCCCTCGATCTCTGCTGCCGTTTTTAAGAGGCTTTTTTAAAAAATCTTTGGGAAAATCTTTAGGAGTACTTCAGGAATTTTACCTTCGCTTGTGCAACTTCTACACAGCCATTCAGCACTTTCAGCAATCCTGAAAGCTTTTACAGGATTTCTCTCCCACAGTGGACTAAAGCAAAAGGAAGTTTTCTGTGCAGACTGGTAAGCTGTTCGTGCTCAGCTTCACCAGCAGCTAGCGACATCCAAAAGTAGTAAATAAAACCAGCAACAAAAGCTGCACTCTAGGGACTTAAATCTATTTCACTTGAATAAAGGTAGAAATGTCCCCTCTGCTGGCTCTGCACAGTCTTGGACTCATTCCTGATGACAGATGCACAAAGACATATATTTATTATATACACAGACTCACACAAATCGGTCTTACACTAACAAATGATTGGGGCTTATCCCCCTCTCCGTGCTCGACTGCTCTCTGAACACACTGAGT